CCTCAGTCCTACTCCAGACCCCAGAACAACTGAATCAGAAACTCTACAGTGGGAAAATGATATGTGGTTTAACAAACCCTCCAGGTGAGTGTTCAAACTAGAGAAACACTTAAATGTCTTGGTGCACTTCAAGATAAATTGAAGATATTGCTATACTTTCTCCTAAATACTTTATTCAATAATTATTTATTTATTGGTCACTTACCAGGTGCAAGGCACTATTCTTAATGATAGAGACAGCCTTTCACAGCCTGATAGACTTAAAATAGCTGTCATTAATAGAGAAGAGAGAGCAGACAGGGAGGGAAGGGGAAATAGGAGGAGAAAGGCATATGGGCAGGAAAGCAAGCAAGTAAAGCAAAGCTGAAAAATTTTATGTGGTTATTGGCACATGCAAGTAACTAGAAGTAAATAGATCAGAAGCCCATTAAGTTTTAAGGGACTTGTAATATCAAGGGACTTTACAATGCTTGCCTAATGGGATTTATAAATTTGTCACAGATCAGGGAATGCTGTGTGCCATTTATTCTTCCTCGTTTTCACTGGGAATGATGACTACAGTTCCATTGCCCTTGTTCCATCTCTGAGTGCAGCTCAGAGGCCACTCTCCGAGGTGCTGAAACCAGCGCCCATTAGTCTCTGCCAAGAACTGACCCAGCACGAAGCAACCTTAACTATTGGGTAGATGTTTAGGGCTCCCAGGCAAATTTTCAGAAATGACCTTCTTGGGATTTTTAAAAAACAAACTGCTCTCCAGGTTCCATCAAAGCACAGAGGGGAGGGAAAGAGAGAGGGACTGGGAGAGTGAGGACTTGAAATTGAGTTTCACTGTACTTCATTGTTTCACACTGAGTCAGGCAAATAATTAAGCCTAAATAAGTAGAACTGTCTGATAGCCAGTGAGGGGTATTTCTTATAAGTAGAAAGGTTTAGGTGAATTGGTTTTGATAGGTAAGTAAAAGGCTTTGTGACACTTTAGAGCAGTGAATTTTAAACTATAGTCCCTGGGTCAGCAGCATGAGCATCATCTGGGAACCAGTTGTGAATGCAAATTCTCGGCTCCCACTCCAGATCAACTGAATCAGAAACTATGGAACCAGGCCCTAAAATCTGTGTTTTAACAAACCCTCCAGGTAATTTTGGTGCTTGCTAAAGTTTGAGAACCTCTACATCTAGAGTGATGGTTGTCAACACTGGTTGCACTTTAGAATCACCTGGAGGCTTGTAAAAATATTGAGGCCAGGTACCAGCAGCATGCCTCAAAAACAGAATCAGAATATGTAAGAATATTTTTCAGGTTTTAGTGTGTTTTAAAAGTTTCATGAGTGATTCTAGTGTGCAGCTATGTTGAATCACTGCCTTAAATTTTTATTGAAAATACATAGAAACATCCACTGAATCAACAAGGGGCCACAACTCCCAGCACTGTGACTTCTGGCCACCAGCCTTGGCCTTCTGGGCCCTGAAGGCTTTCTGGGGTTTCTTGGAGACTGACTAGACCCATCACTGCTGCACAAGGACATCACACTGATATGAAGTAGGAGTGTACTGAGGACATTTGCGTAGAATTGACATAAATAAGTGGGGTTTTGCCACCAGAGATTATAAACACTAATTTGTGGCATTGTTTGGATTGACATCATCGTATTACAGCTCTCTGATGAGGTCACCAGATTCTGATTCATCTCTGATTTTCCCATTCTGTCTCCCTTGATTCTTTGATTCTAAATGGAATGAGAGACACAGCCATGTGGAGTAGAAGTCATGAAACCAAAAGAATGTAGAAACTCTTCTAAGACATCTTGGGGAATGAGGATGGGGAGCTCTCAACATGTCACCTCTGGTTTTTGTTATTCAAGAAATGTGAACTCACACTTCTTGCAGCATGTGGTTGGATCTCCAGTGTGACAGGCTAAAGGGAAAGAAGATATGTGTAACTGTGCTTTGTAAACTATACAGAATTATATAAATGTAAAGCACTATTATAACTTTTTTCTTTTTATACTAGTTATGTAGTTAGAAGCCTGATCTGGTTCTAGAAGAATCTGAAAGCTGCACATTGAATGAAGGATCTTAGCAGCATTTTCATTATATTAGAGTTCTTAGGAGCTGTGGACTCTGTTGAAAGTTTAGTATTTCAGACCAGCCACAGTTTATCTCCCAGTCACTTCTCTGGGTTTTCTGTTTTCTTTTCTCCCTTTCCTTTCCCTTCCTTCCTTCCTTCCTTCCTTCCTTCCTTCCTTCCTTCCTTCCTTCCTTCCTTTTCCTTTCTTTCTTTCTTTCTCTCTTTCTTTCTCTTTCTTTCTTTCTTTCTTTCTTTCTTTCTTTCTTTCTTTCTTTCTTTCTTTCTTTCTTTCTCTCTCTCTCTCTCTCTCTTTCCTTCCTTCCTTCCTTCCTTCCTTCCTTCCTTCCTTCCTTCCTTCCTTCCTTCCTTCCTTCCTTCAGACATGGTCTTGCTCTGTCACCCACCATGCCATCGTGTTGGAAGTATACTGAGATACTGTCAAGAATACATGTGCATTAAAAGAGACTTTCTGGAAAGGCAATATTTAACCCAAAGAAAGGTCTGTTTCAATGTTGGTGAGCTCTCCTTGGTCTTTACTAATGCATTTCTTGTTTGTATCAACTACTAGGCACCTCAGTGAAATCATGGGCTCCCTCAGAGAAACTTCTGAATATTCTCCTTGGTTCCCATTTTGTTTTGTATCAGATAGAAACAAATTAATATGCTGATTAACTGAGAGCCTACAGACAAAAGTTCAGATATCACTGAGGGGTATATTTTGGGAATGAAGTCCTTCTTGAGCTAAAGTGTGCATACAAATAGCCATCACACAGCATAGAAAATGGAAGCTATAGGAGAGGCATCCTTCCTGTGGTAGGAAGATGAGATCATCCCTGTATTGAGGAATCGGAATATTTTGTGCTTCAAATGGGAGTTTGAGCTCAGTCTTACAGAATGAGTAGAATGTGGACCTGCAGAGGTGAGGGCATGGGCATTCCAGGCAAGCGCAATAGCATAAATAGAGGCATGGAGACCAGAAAGCTGAGGTATATAATGTGGAATAACCAGAGGTTCCATGTGACCAAAGGGAAGAATTCATGGAGATAGTGGAAAATAAAGTTGGAATGAAATGTTGGAGTCAAATTATGAAGGACCCTGAATATCATCCTAAGATCTATGGACTTTACGGATAGAGAGTGATATGACCAGGTTGAGTATATTCAATTTGAAGAATATGAGAAAGGTCCCATTCACTTGTAACATGTCTTCCTTTAGCCCATTAGAGTTTAATTTGAGTTTCCATTAGAAGTTAGTGCGTTTGGAGTAACAGGTCCTGTGGAGTTGATAGCTCCTGAATATAAATGTTTATTCACACATTAGCTTAAACTAGTAAAATGACCACTTTGTTTTCTAATAACAGATGAAAATTAGGCAACTGGGCTACATTTATGAAAAGAGGAGCTGTCCACTGAGGGCAGGCTTTAACAGGGCTCTCCAGTATGGTACTTGGGGCAACAGACTAGGAACAAGAAAATGACTGCAACACAGGAGGTAGCTGTGGGATAATATTTACCAATGTTGTTAACTAATTTACAATTGACAGATCAGTTTTACCTCCAATATTTCATTTTGTCCTCACAATAACTTTAGGAGGGAGATGAGACAGTGATTATTTTACGAATAGGACATTGAATATCACAGAGGTCAGCTTTCCTGCCCAAAGGTGAGCTGACAGTATTTGGATTTGAGCACAAGTCTCTGGAATGTAATTGCACTTTTCACCATTTTGCAATGCTCACGTATTTCATACTCTTGCCAAAGGTCAGTCCATCAGGGAGTTAAACCTTTGGTTCTTCCATTAAATGCTATCATGTAACTGAGACTGTAATCCTCAAAGCCATGGACATTGACACATCTCTGAGAGACAAAATCAAGGAGGCTCAGACAGCCCTAGCTCTTGGCCTCCTTCCATCTTTGAACTTCTGTTTATTTTCTACTTGTCAGTGGATTTTCAGAATAAATGGAGTATAAAGAAAGGATATGAGTGATTACAGAGAGCAAAAAAGGTATTATTATTTTAATAAAACACTGAATATTTAATATTATAATTATTGCTTAGGCATGTCACTGGCATTTGTAGGGAGAGGACTCTGAGCCAAACCATTGCTAGAGTCCTTATTGTGCAGTTATTAATGCTGCATGGCTCATGTGCTCATTACTCCCAAACCCCACGCAACTCATTGCTGGTTGGGTCTCTACTTTACACTTCTCCCCATGGAGAGTCTTGCTTCCTGAGACTGAAGTCTGGAGCCGGGAACAGATGCTTGGGGCCCTCGTGACAGCTCCAAGGGATACTTCAGAAAGCTTGGAGCTGGTGTGTCAAGGAAGAAAACCCTTTGTTAAGCTCATCCTGGCACTTAAGGAGGCAGAAAAGAAGGGATTTGCCAAAACAGAGAAAAGTAATGACTCATACAATAATAGTTTATAGAGTGTTTACACCAAGGTTATCTCATCAGGTCTTCACAACAACCTGAGGAGGCAGGCAGGGCGGATAGAACCTTGAGGAAACTGAGGCTCAGAGAGGCTAAGTGCCTTTTCCAAGCCATTTGACTGGAGGACATTGAGGCTGGTATATGAACTTGGGGGGCCTGAGCCTGGGTCTGTGTGCTTTCTGCTACATCATCCTGCATCTCTAGAAAGTGGAAATTGTCCAGACTCAGAAAGCATTCTTGTCCAATTTCAATGGCCTATGGTGATTTCATTTTGAAACATTGGCAGGGTGCACCCTTAGTTCTAAGCTTAAAGGTTCAGCTGTGGTGTGTACCATCTCTAAGAAGCTCTCCTTCCTAACCCTTGCCTCTTGGCGTGGGTTTAGTTGTCCCTCCGCTGTGCTACCACCCTAATCTTTGCCTCAATTGTAGAACTTATTACTTTTGTTTACTTACCACTTGTTTATTTACTTGGTAGCAGCTAATCTGTGAGTTGCTCTGGATCTGGGTCATATTCCCTGTTTCTCTCTGGTGCTCAGAACAATGCCTAGGATGTGGTTGGTGGACAATACAATGGAAATTGAATGAAATTAAGCCAAACAGTAGAAGATAACTCCAACTGCCCTTGTCCAAATCCTTTGTTCCCGCATGGAGTTAGACCCTCTCTCTCTGCTCAATTTTCATGTCTCCTACTACCCACTCAGAAAGGATCCATTGCTCCCACTCATCCTGAGGCATGAGTGACTGAGAAGGCTGAATGCTGGGTCCCTGCTTGTGGTGTTTGCCAGTGTAGAATTTCCAGCACTGGAAGCCCCAATTTTTGGTGGTGATGGTTGTAGAGGGTGTTGGAGAAGGAAGGCTGATGTTTCCCTGATGTACCATTGCGATGCAAAGTGGCCAGGTGAAGGGCGGCATCTCTTACCTGTGAGAGCTTTTGGGTGCTTCTGTCAGAGCATGCTGTGAATGCATGTGTAAGTGTGGATGCTGTCATGAATCCTTGAGCTCCTAGAGTGAGAGAAAAAAAGTGTGAAGATGAACCACACATGGTCTACTTCTCCAGAGGCAACACCATTAAAGGAAGGGCCCCAGAGGGAAGACACCTGATCAGTTGGAGCCAGTCACCTTCCTCGTGCCTCCCTCTCCTCAGCCCTCTCAGTCCTCTCTTCTTTCTGACACAATGGGGAAGGCCCTGGCCAGAGATTGTATCAGTCTTGAATTTGGGAAATGATCTAATCAGATCAATATCGAGCTCCCAAATGAGTCCAATAAACTTCTACAGTGCAGAGGGCAACATGGGCACAGAGCAGGCTGGAAGAAAGGACTTAATAGATAACCTGGGACAGAGAGCTTGGCGCACCATTCATTTGTTTCCCATGGCACCATCAAATTTGAATGCCCGCAATGTCTGCTCAGGTCACTCATTCTTCTGTCCTAGGCACGCATACTCTCCTGCTCACAGGCACATTTGTTCACTATTGGTTCACACCATTTGGTGCATACTCTCTCTGTGTCAGGCACTGTGAGGAGTGCTGCATGGGGTAAAATGTGCTGCGCTGTCCCAGGACACCATCTGCACATCTGCTCCTGCCACTATTCTCATCTTTGCTTAGGTTTTAAGCTCCTGAGGGCAGGCTGTAAGTTCTAACAATCTCTGTCTTTCTCTAAATACCTCATGCAATACTTTACCCTTAGATCTTACATATATATTTCCTGAATGCGTAAATAAATAAGTTAATAGATAAAGTGACATGGCCTCTATCTCTAAGTAGTTCATAGTCTGTCAGGGAAGAAAATATCTAATTCAATGAGTTCCAGATCCCACCCGATTTTATGATTCTGTTTTTATGAAATATCTACAATACAATGCAGAATGCAATCCATTCCATACAAGTATATGTATCTTCACAGGAGAGAAGAAACTCAGTTTTCATTCAACCAATTATTGAGTATTTGTGGTATTCCAGGCACTCCTGAATTATTGCTTCCTTTCATCATCTTTTATTCAGGGTGCAGTATAGTTTAATAACAGTAGATACTGTTCATCAAGTCTTGCTATGTGCTAGGCAATAGGCTGAACTCAGTGTGAATGATCTCCCTTAATCCCCATAACAAGCCTTTGAAATAGGTAGCATTATTTCCCTACGTTAGAGATGAGGCAAGTGAGGCTGAGGGAGAGTAAATAACTTGTCCAAGAGAGATGGTGTCAGTTACTGCCCTCATAGGAGTTTAAAGTCCTGTTTGACATCAGTCCCTGGGTGTTGAATCACTCTTTCTGGGATGTGTATGGGCTCTGGGACATGTCCTACATCTGATTCCTGGCCCCTTACTTTTTTTTTTTTTTTTGAGATGGAGTCTTGCTCTGTCGCCCAGGCTGGAGTGCAGCGGCTGATCTCGGCTCACTGCAACCTCTGCCTTCTGGGTTCAAGCGATTCTCCCGCCTCATCCTCCTGAGTAGCTGGGACTACAGGCGCATGCCACCACACCGGCAAATTTTTGTATTTTTAGTAGAGACGGGGTTTCACCATGCTGGCCAGGCTGGTCTCGAACTCCTGACTTTGTGATCCGCATGCCTTGGCCTCCCAAAGTGCTGGCATTACAGGCGTGTGCCACCGCCTGGCCTTGCCCCTTAGCTATGTAATCTTGAGAACCTCATCCTCTCTGAACTTCAATTCCCTGACTTGCAAACCAGGGATAAGAACCACTACTATGAAAGATTGCTGTGAGGATTAAATGAGATAATCTGTGTATATGCTTGTCACATAGTAGGTGTCAATACATGTTGGTTCTTTAAAAAAAAAAAAATAGGGTAACTTTCAAAAAATGAACCAGCAGATAACAACTTGTCCTTCAAACCTGCCCTGTTGGATAACCCTTCTCTGCCCCTGGACAGATTCTAAAGCTTTTCCAGTCACTTTCAGATATTAGAAGTTTTATTTACAGGTATTAAAAAGGCCAGGGATCTAAATCAATACTTTCATTTCACATCCAATTTAAGCTTTTCTCTTTCCTCCCAACTCAGGGCCTACTCATGCTCAGCCGCCTGCGGTGGGGTGGAGGGTGGCTATTTATTTCTTACGCTCCCTATTCCATCTCATCCCCCCTACTGGCCACTGCCTGGGGCTCTTGCAGGGCCGGGTGAGAGGAGAAAGCAGAGAGAGGGACACATCTAACTAGACTGGTGCTGCTGCAGTTTGGTAGCAGGGACCTGTGCGAGCTCTTTGGGTGTCCAAATGCTGGCTCTTTCCTTCATGGGGTGCTTTCATGGGTCTTTTAAAGGTTTCCCTCGCTGTTCTCTAACATGAGGACTTCTGGATGACCTCCGATGACTTCTCCTAAGCTCCTTCTGCAGGGTCACGCCCCCTACCCCAGCCCCTCTGCTGGGGTCACTTCATCCCAGCAAGCCGTCCTTTAGGGCAGGTTCTTCTTAAGATAACTCTAGTCTGGCTCTTATTGTGACATCTGCTTGTCCCAGGGAAAGCCCCACTAGACTCGGGCCCCCAGGTAGCTCTGACAGGCAGCTCCAGCCAGGCCTGACCTTCTGCTGCCAGGTGAGGATCAGATGCCAGTCCCTAGTCTCTGTGCCCCTCAAACTCCGCAGATGTAGTTTAGGTTCTCCAGAAGCTCTTTCCCTGCTTTGCTTCACCCTTATGGAGTGAAGGTTTCCTTCTGCTCATTGCAGACAGCCTGCACTTTCTAAACATGATTCTCTGCAAGACTGAGGTGGGGGACAGGACTCCTTACTAAGGTAACAAGTCGCAGGAAATCTACTCTCTGAACCGTCCTTGATTTACCTGCTCTTATTTATGGGACTGAAGCAGGTGATGGGGTGAGGGTCACAGATGGAATTTTCCTGCCTAAACCCTGAAGATGAGATGTGTCTAAGCACTCTCTTAGAATGTGTGGGCATTTCACCATCACTTTTCTCAGCTTTGGAGCCTCAGCTCAAATTCCAAGACAATAAAAAAAAATTCCATTTAACATACTGCTATAATTCTCATACCCAGCCTGCCCACCCCCCACTTCTAATCAGAGTAACAATGTACATAGTTTTAAAAGTCAAACGGAATTCACAAGATTAATAACAGAAGAAAGCAGTTGCTTCCCCTATTCCTCCTAACGCTGTGTCCCATTTCCCAAAGGCAAACACATCCAACTTTTTCTATTTCTCTTGATAATTACATTTTTATTTCTAAATAATGTACACGTGTAACCAATTCTGGATTTAAAACTTTTTACTTATTATTTATTGCCTTCCCAACACAGAAGAGGAGAATTACATCTTCCACTACCCTCTCTCCCTCCATCCACCCTACCATAAATATTTCCTTCCCCCAATCTTTCTAATATATTTAATAATTTTGATTAAATAGTGTATCTGTTATTGTTGCTATGCAAATTTTAACAGTCAAGCTGTAATGATTACATTTCTGTTCTTGAATAATTTTTTGTTTTCACTGGGATCAATCTTTACTCATTTTGGTTGTTTGCTTAATATGTAATATATAAATAATTCATCTTCAGACTCCTTAACAAAATTATCAAGCTCCCCTCAGTAAAGTTGAGCACATGAGGTAGTCTTTGTGTCCTAACGAGTTCTTCCTAGGACTAATATCCGCCAGGAGCCTTCAGCCAGCCTTGTCCCTGGGCTGCTCACCCTCCAAGGTTCACTATACTGCTATGACCTTGGCATTTCCCTTCACGGTCATCCCAAGAAATCATGCCTTTGAACTGTTTAGATCTTCTGTTTCCTGGACTTGTTCTTTTTCTTTTGACGTATTTGTGGCTTTTTTTTTTTTTTTTTTTTTTGAGAGAGAATCTCACTGTGTCCCCCAGGCTGGAGTACAGTGGCACGATCTCAGTTCACTGCAACCTCTGTCTCCCAGGTTCGAGTGATTCTTCCACCTCAGCCTCCCGAGTAGCTGGGATTACAGGCACGTGCCACCACACCTAGCTAATTTTTTTGTATTTTAGTGGAGACAGGGTTTCACCATGTTGCCCAGGCTGGTCTTGAACTCCTGACCTCAAGTGATCCACCCACCTCGGCTTCCCAAAGTGCTGGAATTACAGGTGTGAGCCACCATACCCTGCCTGTTTTTCATTTTGATGGCGCTTCCTGAGAAAGATTCATGGTAGATCATCCTTTTTCTAGACCTTGCTGGACATGTAAGACAGAGTAAGAGAAAGTTTGCTTGGCTATTGAATTCCAGGTTAGATGCAATTTGTTTTTTCTCTTGGAATGTTAAAGATAATGGTTTATTATCTCCTAGCTTCTAATATTTTTTGTAGATGTATCAAATGCCATATTGTTATCTGATTTTTTAAATGTACTCTGAAGTTTTTCTCTTTATCTTTGTTCTAAAATTTCATGAGCATGTGTCTTGTGTGGTTCTTTTAAAACTCATTATATTAGGCACATTCTCTATCCTCTCATTCTTTCTCCGGAAGTTCCAGTAGCTGGATATTGGACCTCTAGATTGATTCCCCACTTCTAAAAAAGAAAACTTTCCATCTGTTTGTCTTCTTGTTTCACTATCAAAACAATTCCTCACTTCGTCCCCAATCTATTAAAACTTTTATTTATGCTACTATATTTTTAATTTCCAAAAATTCTCCTGCGCTTTCAATTTTTTGTAGTACTCTGCTCTTGTTTCACGGATGCAATATCTTATTTTTTGGGAAATTGTTTTAAAATAGTTCTTTTCTGTTGTATACATTGTCTCTGTTTCCTTCAAGTTTATTGTCTTTATTTGTTTCTTTGGACTCTGTTTTCTAATATGTAGATGCTCAGTCTCCATGTTTTCAGTAAGATTACTCAGCCCTGCCCTCAGTGGTGTCTGGTATCCTCAAGTTCAAAGTCTTATTGAAACTTTTCCAGGCCAAGAGTTTCAATAAGAGTTTGAATTTGAGGATACCGACTTGGGAGGCTGAAGTGGGAGTATCGCTTGAAGCCAGGAGTTTGGGACCAGCTTGGACAACATAGCAAGACCCTATCTCTAGAAAACAAT